GTACAATGAGTTGTTTTTTTATAGTTTCTCTTTAGTCAGGGTACCACGGTACTCCTACCCTTATACATCCCAATAAAATGGGAGGGCAAAACGCAAATACCGTCATATTCACTATTTGTGTCCTTCTTCTTTTTGTTCAATGTCTTAATTGCTTTTGAGGTAAAACATCTTTAACTGTTGTTAATAATCTTAACCGATTATCCCCGTCAGTTCTTTAGAACATCGGTCCCTTTGATAGATTATATGGTTAGTCCCATGATTATAGTATGCTATATCATTTTGGTTGTATGTGTTTTGCGTTTCAATCTTCTTATGAGCGGACAAAGCTACAACCTAAGACTCGTTTATATTGTTTTTAGACTATGGTGGTAGAACATAAAGGCTATTAATTTTGGGATCCTATCTCTAATAGGTTACATATCTCCCGTCATATCACATTTTGGGAACACAATTGTTTTTTCATCTTATCGAAGTTTAGCATACCTTTTAACACGATTCTCCATTTGTCTCATCTCCTCCCTCTGATGTCTTTCTAAACATTCCTACCTCCTCTCTCCCACGACTCACTAATTAGTCAACTTTGCCATCGTCTTATGAAATTTATTCGTTAGCGTCTCTTGAGCCACCGCATTCTCTTGATTCTCCTACTAATCGCCATCGCTTCACTTGGGTAAGTAGACCTCTCGCTCACCTTATTGACTATCATTGATATTCTATCATTTTATTTCATCATGAAACTAGGTTATTTTATAAGGCGACTGCTGATCCATTGTGGCAAAAACCTATGGCTGAGGAACTACAGGCTTTGAAAAAAATTCACACTTGAAATTTGGTGGATTTGCCTTCTGCCAAGACATCCATTGGGTGCAAGTGCGTTTTAAAAATAAAAAATAAATTATGATGGTCCCATTAAGCACTACAAAGCTCTCCTGGTGGCTATGGTTATTCCCATGAATGTAGAGTCAACTCTGAGAAGACTTTTACTTTTGTTGCTCGACTCACTACTATGCGTTGTCTTCTTGCAGTTGTTGTTGCTCGTCGCTGGTCCCTTTTCAAGTTTGATGTCAAAAATACATTTTTGCATGACATTCTTTTTTAGGAAGTCTATATGACTCATCCTCTAGGTTTTCCATCTTCTTGAAAGATTTTTTCGTTTATGCCAAGTTTTATATGGGTTGAAGCAGACTCTTTGAGCTTGGTATGCCACTTTTTGCTCTGTCTTATTGAAGTTTAGTTTTACTACGAGCGATCACGAATCTGGATTGTTTCTTTTTCGTTCTCCCTTAGGGATCATCGTCCTATTCCTTTATGTTAATGATAAGGTCATCACAATGATGATGTTTTTAGTATTTCTGACCTACATACGTATCTCCGTCAGCAGTTTGAGATGAAGATCTTGGATCCCCTTCGCTACATTTTGGGGCTAGAGATTTCTGATTCTCTAGATGATTTTTATTTGTTTCAGACTAAGTATGCCTCTAATCTTATTTCTTGAGCTAGTCTCTCTGATTGTCAGATCGCCTCTATACTTCTTACCCATGCCATTCGACTCACTCCTCATGATAGTTCTATTTTGATGTTACTATATACATTTTGTTATTTCAACACTATTTTTCAATTATGGTTCTAAAAAAATAATAATCAACAACACAAAAAACTTTTTACAAAAATAAAATAAAAAAAAAAAACTTCAAATACTTATTACAAAAAATCAAAATGTCAAATATTCAACTTCAAATAATATATTTTATACTTTTGAAACAATTCTCTGTATCACACACAAAAAATAATTCATCTTAAAATGCTATGTGAATGCGTGGACGAGCCATTGTATCGTCAGCTTGTTAGGAGTCTAATTTATTTAGTGTCACTCGATCTGATATAGCTTATACAGTTCATATTGTGAGTCAGGTAATTGTTGCTCCGAGGACTATTCACCCCTCCGCCGTCTTACATATTTTTCATTATGTAAAGGTAATTTCTTGCATGGTTTACACTTCTTAGCTCATTCTTCATTGACACTTAACAATTACTTTTATGACGACTGGCCTGGTGATCCTACCGATCATCGTTTGATTACTGATTTTTGCTTTTCCTTGGTTATTCTCTTATTTCTTGGCGCATCAAGAAACAGACTTTGATTTCTCGATCGAGTGCTGAGTCAGAATATTATGTTCTTGATGACTCTACATTAGAACTACTATGGCTACATCGGTTACTTACGAATCTTGGTGTGCCTCAACCGGTAGTGAGAGTGGTATGAACATAGCCATCATGATATTTTTCATGAGCGGATCCAACACATTGAGCTTGATTTCACTTCATTTGCCAGCATGTTGCCTATGAATCTGTATTGGTATTTGTATTATTTATGAGATATTTGACAATTAGTTGTTAGGTGATTTAATTAGCAAGTTTGACTAGCTAAATATTTAACTACCAGTGTTAAGGTGTTTGGTAAAATAATTGTTTGTTTTTAGTAGTTTATACGTAAATTGAAATTACTGATAGTTTATATCTTATTTTTAAAGTATTTAATTGTGTTCCTTTGGTGCGTAGGATTTTAAGAATTTTTGTTATTAGTTATTAAAAATTGTTAAAATATTTACTTTTGTTATTTTTTTTAAATATTTTGTAAGAAAAATAATACTCCATTTGTCCCAAGTTAAATTATTATTTTTACCATTTCACATTTCCCGTTTAAAAGTATCACTTTTCTATTTTAGTAATCATACACTAATACCAAAATATCCTTAACTTTTAATTAAATTATAAGTATACCATTACAAATATAATTACTTATACATAAAATTCAAGAGCAAATATGTCAAAACTTCTTACACACTTTCACTAACTAATAAAAATATTAATATTATTTCTTAATCTATTACAAATAAAATATATATTTTTTTCACTAGATATAATATAAAATATAAGAAAATAAATTCTTCGTATATTTATATTTATTAGGTTAATTTTTTTTATTAATTTACTTTTCAATAAAATTATAATTTCAAATAAATTTATTCCAAGATATTTATTTTTAATAAAAGGTCATATTTGGCAATTAGTTGATAGCTGTTAGTTGTTAGCTGATTCAATTAGCTGATAGCTGTTAGCTGATTCAATTAGCTGGTTTGACTAGCTTATTCGATTAGTTGTTTGTATTAAAATGTTTGGTAAAATAACTATTTGATATTAGCTGTTTATACGTAAAATGACAATTGAGGACATTTCTATTTTATTTTTGTTTCTAATATATTCAATTATATTCTTTTGAGTTAAAAATGTTTAAAATTTTTTGTTATTAGTTATTGAAAATTGTAAAAGTGTTATAAAAGTATTTATTTTTATTACAGTTAGATTTAAAAAGTAATATATTTTTATTAAAATATATAAATAATTTTTTCTATTGAAAATTTTTGTTATTAATTATTGAAAATTGTAGAAGTATTATTAATATATTTTTTTTTACTATTTTTACATATTTTTGTAAAAAATAATACTCCATCCGTCCCTTAACAATCTATCATTTTTTTTTTCATTTTATTTCGTCTCATAATAAAGTATCTATTTTATTTTTTTTAGTAACTGTACTATCTACCTAACTTTACAATTCCCTTCCAATTTACAATATATTACACAAATGTGATTACCTTTATATCATATAATACTAATAAGATTAATTTAGTCTTTTTACCTTTATTTATACTATATCTCAATGTAATATTAATATTTTTAAAATTTCGTGTAAAAAATAAATATATAGATAAATATGAGACGGAGAAATTAATATATTTTTATTAAAAAAATACTCTAATAATTTTTTTATTGAAATAATATAAAATATAAAAAAGCAAACGTCTAATATATATATATATTAAATATTAATTAATTTATTATTAGTATTTTCAATAATTCAATATATATAAAAATAAATTATATTTTTAAAAAAAATTTAATAAGTTAATATATTTAAAAAAATAAAAAAATAAAAAAATTTAATAATTTTAATTACTTAAATTTAAAATGTTAAACCATAATTTACTAACAATAACAAATATATTAAAATAGTAAATAAAAATGTGTAAAAAAATAATTATTCGAAGACAAACATAAAATTGTATCAATAATAAAAAAATAATACTCTCTCTTTCCCATTGAAAGGATGTCATTTTTCATTTTCGTCTGTCCTAAAACAAGGTTACTATTTCCTAATTTAGTCATTGTACTATTTACCTAACATAATAAATACTCTTCTAATTTACAATATATTACACAAATGCCATTACTTTTATATTACACTATACTGATAGGGGTATTTTTTGTCTTTTTTAGTACAATCCAATATAATACTAATATTCAAAAATTTACCTATAAAAAGCAATCGGCACTCTTTCACCGGAACTAAAAAAGTATTAAAAATAATTAATAATAAAATATTTAATAACATAATTAACTATTAAATTAAAACATCATGTGCTGAAATAAAAAATTCAAACAGCTGATCCACCTCCATAATATTTTATATTGAATTTTTTTGTTAAAATAAAAATAAAATATATTATATGAATATGAATATATATATATATATTGTATTTTATAATATTTATAGAAATCCTATCACATGAACAAATCCTTTGTATTTTCAGTTTTAAATTATTTTTTTTAAAGACTAAATATTAATTATTATATCAAAATACAGTAAAAATTAAGAAAAAATTGTAAAAATACTTCAATTAGTGTCTTGTAATAGAATGACAATTGTAAAAAAAAAAATTATACCAATATAAAAATATTTTTAATGTTAAGTACAATAACGCAAAATATAAATATATCTCTACGGACGGACGGTGCGAATAATTTCATAAAAGAGTAATACTCTACATTATACTGTTATAAAAAACAAGTAAAATTTTAATTTTGTAATGAATATAAAATCAGACATAGGTAAACAAGAATTGGGTTGTTATTACAAAAAGATATCCTTTGCTTATAATTATGCATTATTCCGTACTCTTAGCTGCGGTTAGCCATTTAATAATGGGTGCTTCGAGTTCGACGCTGTAAACTTCCCCATCAAGATTGCGATTTTCGTCGCGAGGAGACAGACAGATTCGGCGCCTGATGATGAACGAATGAATCAATTGAGGAGAATCTTCTGAGTTCCAACGCCGTTGTTGATCAATTTCTCGTCAAATTAAGGCTGTTTTTGAATGAATGCACGATGAACACTGCTCCAGAGCAATACCAATCACCATCGCCGGCGCCGGCGGAGGCGCGATCTTCTGGTGCCCAGGAAAAGGCTCCTGCAGCCCAGCAGGTGTCGGTGGCTGAGGAATTCAAAGCGGCGCCGACTGCGAAGCTTTCGTTCCCAGATCGCGATGCCCTCGTCAGCGGCGGTGGAAAGAGGTGCATTTCGTAATCTGAAATTCCAGATGATATATATATATATGTATGTATGCATATGTATATGTCTCAATGTTGCTTGATTAATTATTAATTTGCTCGATCGATCTTGTTGGCCATTTTGGTAATTGATTAATTAATTTGCTCGATTTTTGGCTGGTCTTTGTTGTTTGGGTAAAACATTTGAGATCTGTTCTAGGGTTATGTGGCTGCGGAATGATGATAGGTATTCTTAGAAGCATAAAGGGAATTAGAATCTGAAATGTGTGTGAGAAAACATTTGTTGGGATTAAAGGAATTTCTTGAGTCATACATTTTAGAAAGAATGTGGTTGTCGTTTTAATTATGACTTTAACCCTTTTGAGTTGCTGCAGCTTTCTTACAGGAGATAAAAAGGGCAAGATTACTTATGGATATTCCAGTTTCAAGGGTAAACGTGCATCCATGGAGGATTATTATGAGATACGTGTCTCAGAAGTTAATGGTCAAACAGTTGCCCTATTTGGAGTTTTCGACGGTATGTCTCGCAGTTTGTTGGACAGCTACTGCATTAAAATTCTCATTTTTTGTCGTTTCTTGATCGAATGTTGCATGATATCATCAGAATATTCATAAATCTCTTAAAATAGTTTTATTTCTCTGACATGTTGTCTCATCTTAATAATTCGAAAGTGTACACAAATTGATCTTATTACTGTTTGATATCAGGGCATGGTGGATTCAGAACTGCGGAGTACCTGAAGAAAAATCTGTTCAAAAATCTAAGCAACCACCCAGAGTTTATGCGAGATACCAAGGCAGCTATTGGTATGAATTTAAGAAATCTAAGTCCATAAAATGCATATGAAATTAACAATTTTGTACGGGATTCTAAGTAATGTGAAAGGCTATTGGTTGCAGTTGAATCATTTAGACAGACGGATGATGACTACCTTAATGAGGAGAAGAACCAGCAGAAGGATGCAGGTTCAACTGCATCAACTGCAGTTCTTGTACACGATAAACTTTTCGTTGCGAATGTGGGAGATTCTAGAGTTGTTGCATGTAGAGCCGGTTCAGGTTTGATATCTTTCGAAAGTGTCTTTTCACCGTTTTTCCGCACTGATTACTTTACGTAACTTTCTCTCAGATCATGAGTAGGATGATTCTCTCTCTTGTTTTTTTTTTTTTTTTTTCCTTTTAAATTTCTAATGCATCTTTTTATCTAATAAACTAAATTTCCAAATATGTCGTCCTTAGTTGGTTGGCTAATAATGAAATAGGTATGTAATTTATTACAATAACTTGCTGAAGTTGTTAGGCTTATATTGCTTGGGCTGGTTGGAAATATCCATTGTGTTCAACTCACCTATATCTAAAATATCTTACTTTATGTCACAATCATAAATCAACGAATATAATATTATGTTCATTAAGACCCATATTAAGCTCATATGAACATATTTATCAGTGGTCGGGAAGAGTTAATTTTCAATTATTGTATCTATAGGTAAGGATAGAGGCTGTGTACGATAAGATTGTATCGTTTTGAAGTTAATTGTTGATATTGGACCCATGTAAGTGCTAAAGTATTCAATACTCTTATGCCAAAATAATGAAACTACATAGATTTGTCACTAAATAGTCGTGCATTCTTCACGTTGTCTTCCCATAATTTTGATTTTATTGTTAAGCCATTAAATATTTTAATTGGGCCCTAGTGGGCATTCACACCCCATTTGGAATTGACGCCAAATTCTTGTTTGGATTTTGATGCTAGTTTTGTTTTCAAAACATTGAGAGAACTTGAAATGCTCCGTAAGGAAATTTCGCTTTTTTGCTTTTCCACAAAATTTTTAACTCCAAAGTGACATAAAACTCTATGGGAAGCCAATTATTTTCATTGGTAAAATAACTATTAGGCGTGGCATTGATAACAGGTTTCTCTATATGAATGTTGCAACTTAAATATATAGCTCAATTTCTTTTATTTGCCAAGTAGAACAGCTTATAGTTGTGGTCCTTGTGGATTATAATGTCCTTGGAAGAAACTAAAGTCACATATGCTTTTCAAGTTGTTGATGGTCGCTCTCACTGCTTTATGTAGCTGTTCCTTTGTCTATCGACCACAAGCCTGATAGGTCTGATGAACGAGAAAGGATAGAACAAGCTGGAGGTTTCATAGTTTGGGCAGGTACATTTGGCTTCGCCGATTTATCTAACTCTTGTTAATTATACATTTTGGGACTATATTGGTATATTATGCGTTATGTGGAATTCTTGCTGTACTATTTTTTCATGAGTAATAAACTGCCATGTTTTCAGCCAAAGATTTCTGAGGAAATAATGTAGTAATCAAAATTAAAAACCCTTTTGTTTCTTCTCATAATGATGGCTGTTAAGGATAATTTTACATCTTCCCCTCTAGACTGCAGTTATCCCGGACATCCATATTTCTGGTGTAAATTCAATTGTCACTAAACCTGGTCGGAAAGAAAATGTTTTTGTCGTGTTGGATTTCTTGTTAGAAGTCAATGTAATGTACATTGCAGATTTGAATTGAAAGCTACTGTCTGTTTCGCTATCATCTTTTCCTTCATCATATAGTTGATCTATACTGTCTTTGTCAGGGACATGGCGAGTTGGCGGTGTTCTTGCTGTTTCTCGTGCATTTGGAGATAAATTACTTAGGCCATATGTAGTGGCTGAGCCTGAAATTCAGGTACTGCTCATCTTCAACTCAGTCATTTATAAATTTTTTTCATATTCTAGGATAAGTATCAAAATACTAATTTGAGTTTTTGTTTAAATAGTTTTTTGATATGATTTTATTTTTTAGAGAAAATCACATATTTTTCTTGAAAATCGTTCGGGTTGAATAATATAAATCTGTGTTTGAAATCATAAATAAACAAACCCCATCTAGCCTGAATAAATTCCAACTACAAGAATTTTGTCTACGTGACACGGCATGACCGTGTATAATTATGCTCATAATAATTTTATTAGTCACAAAGTTCAATAAAGAACCAATGGTTCAAAATATAGGTGAAATAAGGGAGAATAAAGAAGAAATCGTTAGTGCAAAGAATGTAAATTAATATGGATGATAACTAACTATGGGAATAAGTCGCGGACCTAAATCAAAATCATAGTTAAAACACAAACAATAAGCTAACTCCTACTGCAAAGGATTGGAGACCACGAACCGATGGAATTACTCCAAAGAATATCTAAGTAGAAGAAAATCACATTCTAACACTAGACAAATATTGAGAGGGAACAATAAAGAAAATTTATTAAAGATTCACTCTCCTCTATTAGACAAGGATCTTATACAGAGAGGAGGTCTTTGAGGAAAATATCTTATATAGACAGGAGGTCTGAGGAAAATAAAAGGCAATAAATAATAAAGAAAATAGTCTAACTATAAGGAAACTTCTAGTTATAGAATTTTATTATATGAAAACTTATAATAAAAAGTAATACACCCTCTGTCCGCCTTTAAGGATTACATTTACCTTTTGCTACATTGTACTTACATTAAAAATATCTTTATATTTGTATAATTCTTTGTACAAATATATTTTTATTAGAAGTATTTTTACAATTTTTTCTTAATTTGTATTACATTTTGATATAATAATTAATATTTAAAGATCTAACACGCGAAAAGTAAATGAAACTCTTAGAAACCCTTAAAACCGGACGGAGGTAGTATATAATAAGGTAACGTTGAGATTCTTTTTTAATTATTTATTGTCTTAGTCTCGAAGTCCTGGTTCTTGTGACCCTGGCCCCGGTATGACACGGCTGGGTGACTTTTGAGTCGGATACAAAAGAATTGTAATGTCTAGCAAGTTCATCTTTAATAATTTTTTTTTTTTTTTTTTTTTCTTGAGCTTGGATGGCCACGTCACTAGGTGAACTAGATGTATCATCTCCTGATTGCTTTTGTTCTCCTTATATGTATAAGCACTGGACCGGTTCTGTATCTGCTGCTTTGACCTTACAACATATATTTGACATGTAATGATAATGCAATATACAAAATATATTCTAATAGGACATGACATCATTTCACATAACATTGTATATTATTGATTACAACATACTAAGCATATATATACAACACAATATAATATATAAATTACAAAACGTATGTTTTTACAAGATACAATATAATGCTGTGATATATATATGCATGCACTTTCGGACTAGCTGATTCGTGCTGACTGGATCAAATCAGCATAAACAGTCTCTGTATTGTATATATGTTTACCTACTTCCCTAACTATTCCCAATATCCTCTACGCTGTTCTATTATCTTGCCATTTCATTTGAAACCAAGTTGCTATGATCTTTGGCTGTTCTCTCCGCTTCCTCAGGAAGAAGAGGTCGATGGGGTGGAGTTCATCATAGTTGCAAGCGATGGGCTTTGGAATGTTCTCTCAAATAAGGTTAGTCTATTTCCATTTCAAGCTTATAATTTTCTGCCGAGGTGAACAATCCAAATTGATTACATCTGTGTTTCTTATTCAGGATGCTGTGAATATCGTGCAAGATATCACAGATGCTGAAGCAGCTGCACGAAAACTCATTGAAGAAGCGTATGCTCGAGGGAGTTCAGACAACATTACCTGCATAGTAGCTCGTTTCGAGAACTGACAGCAGACAACAACAACTTTTACATTATCCGGTTACTTGTTATAGCTTCTTCTTCTTTTTTTTTTTTTTTTTTTTTTTTTATGTTGGGTCATAAAATTTGCAGGCCTAAGTTTTCAGGTAGTGTAAGTTATGGAATTAGTTTGTTTAGTCCTTGTGGACAATAATCTTTGAAAGGGTTGGAAACAAATGACTACCATATATGAACCCGATTCAATTCTCTGATTGGATTTGTTTTGTCAAGAACAATTTGTATGTTGTTTTGCTTCTTTCCCTGGTTTAATTGAATAAAGTGGTTAAAATAAAGCTGTCTGTGTGTTTTCTGTCTTTGCCATTGATTCTAGTTCTGTCCCACTGTGATGTGTATGACTGTAATTTAAACTTCTGTAGTCATTATGTTTTTAATTTTTTTTTTAAATATTACTCTCTCCCTCCAATATAATTTGGCTCTATTTTCTATTTCGGTCTGTCCCACGTAACTTGTCTTGGACTTTAATCGCATTTTAAATTTTAAATTTTATAATTTTTTTAATTTTAATTAAACTATTTATTTATTTTAATCTTATTCTATAATTATTTTTATTAAATAATAATTATTTTTACTAATACATCTCTTAATAATACATCTCTTAATTACTTAGTAATTATACTTTACCTAAATTCTTGTCTCTACAGTCATACACCCATATTACATGAGACGGAGTACATCATGCTGTACCATTCAAATTTTTCTATTATTATCCCTTTTCATTAAATAAATATATTTATATACAGTTCAATTTCATTTTTTTTTTAATTTAAAAAATATAATATATGTCAATTATAAATAATTATTATTTACAAAATGATATTCATAAGATATATATTATATTGAAATATAATTTTAAAAAATGTGAATATATTTAATTTTTTTTAATTATATTTATATTGTATAATAAATTAATTTTTAATTCAATAAATTACTTCCAACTTAAAATTCAACTGGTAACAAGACGCACAGCAAATATTTGGGTCTATTGTGACGATGAGTTCAATCCAGCAACACCTTGCATCTTACTGCATGGGCCCCTCTCTCTCTCTGCATTATTTTTTGGCAAGAACTATTGATCTGTTCGTGCAATAACGAAAACGTGATGTCACTAGAGCTCGTATGTGAACTCGACTTGATTAAAGTTCGTTCGCGAATGTTAACGAATTGAGTCGAACAATATAAACAGGCTCGTTTGGTTAACGAACGAACCCGAGCTTTGTTTGCAAATGATTCGTTTAACTAATAAATTTATTATAAATATTATATATACATATAAAATTATAATTTATAAATAAATAAAAATATTATTTTAAAATATATAAATAAAATAATTTTAAAATTTCTTTATAATTTATATATAAATTTTAAAAAATAAGACAAACGAGCTTGAACGAACCCGAACGAGCTTAATCGAGCCTAAACGAGCCGAACACGAACACGAGCTCAAACAACAAAAATTGTTAACGAGTCAAGCTCGAACTCTACAAACAAGCTCGAAAGCTTAATAAACGAACACGAGCCTTATTCGCAAACGTTAACGAACACTTAAAATTTGGCTCGGCTTGGCTCGGATCGGATCGTTAACAGCTCTAGATGTAACCTATATAAATTTTGAAATACATCAAAAGCTTAAAATTTGTAACAGATACATATTGCAAAATAGTAGAAGGATTGGCAAAAAAAATATGGATTGCTCAACCATTTCCACTCTATTTATGTGTTTTATATTTTATAGGGATGATCATAATTATTGTCCTAATACTTGTTTTCAGTCCGTGTTCATATATCTTTAATTTTGCAGAAGAAATTGTTCCTAAAAATTACTAATAAGCGCAAAATCTAGTCACACCGTTAATTAGGGTGTAATTAGTTAGTTCTGTTGACAGAACTAATACGTGCTTGACATATGACTATGTTATACCAACTTAGGCAATGAGTTCACTCGATTTCAGTCAAGCCCTAGCACCAATCGACTGTCGCCATCTGAAATCGAGCTCCATTGCCGACCAAATTGACCAATTTTCATCCCGATTATTGCAAAATGATATCGACATTTTCATCCTGAATGATTTTCTTAAGAAATCTGTGGATTTCAGAGTCCTTGGTCGAGGATATTCTCAAGTTGGTGTGTAAATATGGTAATGAGCTTATATGCTTGCATCGTAGAGCACAAAGTAATCTTAGTATGAGATAACTTGATTTTCGTTTTTTTTTTTTAAAGTTTATGTTGAAGCTGAATTTTTGTGAATTAACATAATTTTTGTAGAATGGTGGAAATTACTATGATGTGTTCGAATAGTGGGATAAGAAAGCCCCTATCATATATAAGGAAGCGATCAATGCATTAGTATGTAAAATCCATAGGCTCGACAATCTTCAGAAAAGAAAAAATGTTATCGATGTCACTGCTGATGAAGTTCAACAAGACAAATGGATGAAGAAGATAAATATATTAGAGGAGAAATTTAAAATACTACAACTAAAATATAGTAGACCTTGAGCGGTGCAAGTAGGCTTTGTTAAGGAGCATGACAATTTAATACTCCCTCAGTCCACTTTGAAAGTTTACAGTTACATTTTGCGTTATTGTACTTAACATTAAAAATATCATTGTATTTGTATAAGTTTGTATACAAATATCATTATATTTGTATTATAAGACATTAATAGAAGTATTTTTGTTTTGTTTACTTAATTTATACTATATTTTGATATAATAATTAATATTTAAAGAGCAACACGCAAAAAGTAAATGTAAACCTTTAAGGCGGACGGAGGAAGTATTATTTAATATACGTGTTGTTGATATCGTTTTTCTAGTTTTCGTGTGTGTAGTCATAGTTACCACCAACTCACCTGCTAGGTTGGCTTTGACCGATTGGTAATATTGGTGACTATATATGTGTGTTCTGTGTTCCGAGTGTTGAATTATTGTTGTTTGATCCAAGGTTGTAGTACCGGTATATTGACTTGATCTTTTGTATGTTATTTGAAAATTTGATGTACTTTAAGGGATTTGGCTTAGGTTGTTATTTGAACCTATGTTATAGGTTAAGTATATTGGATTGAGTTGTTCTAGTTTATGAGAGTTGGCTTGGCTTGTGTTGTTATTGTTTGAGGCTATGTTGTATTTGTAATGTGTTGGCTTGAGTTATTGTTGTTTGAAACTATTTTGTTTCGATGAAATATGGTCTAAGTTAATAGTTTGTGTATACGTAAATGATGTTGATTTGTTAGGTTCATGTAATGTTGTGATACACATCTGCCCATGTATAGAACATAAACCTACACACAAATACTTGCGACTTGATTTATATTGCGACTCAAAATGAGAATTCTATACACTACTACTATCATGAAATAGGCTAATAATGCAAACAAAAATTTAATTGCAACTCACAAAATATAAAACAAAGCATATTATATTAACTACTGTGTCGGAATATATGTTTTACTAATAAATTAATAAAATTTTATTAAATACTTTTATTTTTCTTATTTATATATTATAAATGCAAAATAATTCTATTTTCTTTTTTATTTCCCTTATCTAACAAAATATAAAAATACTATTTTTTACCACCACAACATACTATTACAATTTTAATATTCTTTCCCCTCGCTTCGTCTCTCGTCCTTTAAACCAAACACACCCTAAGGGTCCTTTCATAAATTTTCTTAATAGCCGTAACTCTTTTATCTTTCCTAAACTGTTTTATTTGACTTAGGGTTGGGCTCTCCTATTTGCTTTTCAGATGAATTCTTACCGATTTTGGGCTATACTCACAAATTCAATAACCAAGCACGTTTGTTGGACTTTAATTTGGGCCGTCTTTCATTTGAGACTTTTAAATCTTAGGCGAAACATACTTTGAACTTCAAATTTTAGTTAATCATAGTTGCGCTTTGGATTGATGGTAACAATTATATTTTTGTAAAATATTGTTGTAATCATATTCAATCTATTTAATGAGATCTTTTTGTTTGGTTTTGGTTTGAATTTGAGACTTTGATTTAAATACTATTTTAATGGGAAAAAAATTATTTTTTGTCCCAATATAATAAAAATTTATCAATTTTGGTCCCAATATAAAATTTTTATCAATTTTGGTTCAAATATAACCAAAACTCATCATTTTTGGTCTCAATATAACCAAAACTCATCATTTTTGGTCCCAATATAAAATCTCATCATTTTTGGTCTCAATATACCAAAACTCATCATTTTTGTCATAATATTATCAAACCTTATTTTTTTTTGTCCCACCGTCAACAAACCGACGGAAAATACTGACGTGAACTTGCAAGATTGTGCAATTTCTTCAAATATAAATATAAGGTTTTATTTCTTTTAACGCTAGCATTTTCCGTTGGTTTGTTGGCGGTGATACAAAAAAAAATAAGGTTTGATTATATTGGGACAAAAAATGATGAGTTTTAGTTATATTGGGACTAAAATTGATAAAAATTTTATATTGAAACAAAAAATGATGAGTTTTGATTATATTGAGACAAAAAATGATGAGTTTTGATTATATTGAGACAAAAAATGATGAGTTTTGATTATGTTGGGACCAAATTTGACAAGATTTTTATATTGAGACTACAATTGATGAATTTTGGTTATATTGGGACCAAAAATAATTTTTTCCCAAAAATACTAACTCCGTCCAAGACGGAACTTTCCATTTATATTTGGCGTCATTGTTGTTAGTATTGAAATATCCTTATATCCTTAATTTGTACTATATTTTGATATACTATCTCGGTCCGGCTCTAAGGGTTTCATTTACTTTTTGCGTGTTAATATTTGAATATTAATTATTATATCAAAACGTAGTACAAATTAAGAAAAAATTGCAAAAATACTTCCATTAGTGTCTTATAATACTAATAGAAGAACATTTGTAAAAAAAAAAAAATATACAAATACAATGATATTTTTAATGTTAAGTATAATGACGCAAAAGATAAATGTAACCCTTAGAGACTGACGGAGAGACTAATAAATAATATTTAAATATTAACGTGCAAAAAATAAATGAGAAGTTTAATCTACTTTGAATTGTTGATTAATCATTAGATTGGACAACGGTCTATATTTTATGTGTAGTATGCACAATATTAATTAAATGTCAATCAACACTCTTAACCATTTTCGCCACCACACAAGATAGGTGTGGGAAATGGTTCATAAATCTTAATAAAATAGGCACACCCTAAGCACGACAAGCCTAAAATTGAGCTAAGCATTTAGGATCCACTCCATTTAATTTTAGTTAGGCATTAAACCTCCCTAAATTTTCAAGATCATTGAATTAAAAAAGATGTTAAAAAATTAAATTCCAAAAATTTAAATTCCAACTATAGGGTTTTTAGATATTTATTAGCATTCTTGGTAACATCGAAGGTTGCATCACCTATCTTGTTTTCTTTGTTTCTAGCCAAAAATTGGGCTGAGAAACGACGAACCAATGGATAAAGTTTAAAAAAATCTTTGAAAGGATTCAGAAAATTCGAGACATTTCTATAATTATATAGAATTGCATATAATCTTTTAGAAGCTCTAGATCTTACCAATGGATTATATTAGTTGTTACGTCGAATTGATCTCTATTGTTAATGAGCAAGGGGCAAATGCATTTTATAAGAGTGAGTTTATTTATACATTCATCGAACTTGTAAATAGTTTCGAGTAATACAAAGCATTCTCCAAAAGTTCATGTATTCTCGTGATATGTTCGTTGGCCTTGGGAGTTCACTTCTTTCCAAAGTTGAGTCACTATGCCCTCTAGTTATTCGCTATCATGTCTTTAGCTCAATAATCTTCTTGTCGAGGGTTGTTTGCAGGGGCGGATCTACATTATATCTGGTGGTGGTACTGTTGCGGAAATATTAGGAAATCAAGATGAGACGAATAAGGATACAAAAATACAAGAATTTGGTAACTCAATTCGATCAGAATTATCTACGTCTGTGGCACTGCCAAGTCAAAAATTTTACTATAAAGTACACTGACACACAACACTTATTAAAATGCGTGATGTAATATTCAAATCATATCTCTAGATTTTAGATATAATCAAGCTTCGTATCCCAACAACCACCTCCTACCAGTTATTTTTATATCACCAAAATGAAATTTTATAACTTAATAATTATGCAACCACTAAAAAATTGGAGTGCCGCCGTTTAAAATTTGAAATTGATCTTTATCCCAAAATTTAAATGAACTGTTTAAATTTTAATATTTAAAATGTCATTAATATTCAAATAATTGAAATTCAATCCAAATAAAATAATTAATTTATATTTTAAAATATAAATATACAAAAATAATTTTATATTGTTATTATCATTATTATTATTTTAACTTTATATATATTGTGATACCAGTGAAATTTTTTTGTAAAACTCAGTTGATGGCTGTTTGGTCGGCTTGAAAAGTAGCAATGCACTCTATGAAGTCTATCTTCTAATTGAGGGTTATTCCTAGCCTCAAGGTACTGATAAATACAAATGTAGTTTGAGCCAGTTTTGATGGTTTTGGAATGCCAACCAATTAGTCTTGTCCATGTTACTTTTTGAATTAAATTTTTTATGAAGTGAATACTTATGAACAAGTAATAAAGCCTTGAAAACTGCGCCTTAGTTATAATTTTTGGGTAAATTATATAACATTCTTTTGTGTTTTTAGTAAAAATGCACAAAGCATCCTATATTTTATTTATTGCGTGAAATCCCCGTGTGTTAATGTAAAGTTTGCACGAAACACATTTTTTGTCCAAAACTGATATTTAGTTCTAAATAAAAGACCTAAATTACGCAAGTTTTATACAAATAAAAAACGTAAAATATCTTAAATATTTTTTTTGCATTAAATAAATAAATAAATAATTTATTAATCCTTCATTTTATATTTTTTTAGACAAATTGTTGTTTGATTTTTATAAAAATTATAAAAATAAATAATTGATCAATTATTTATTTATTTATTTATTTTATTCAAAAAAATTTATTTAAGATATTTTACGTTTTTTATTTGTATAAAACTTACGTAATTTAGATATTTGTTTCAATCCAAACATCAATTTTGAACAAAGAAGATGTTTCATGCAAACTTTTCATTAATACAAAGGGTTTGACGTGTTTTGTACATTTTTAGTAAAATACAATAAAATTTATATAACTTACCCATAATTTTTTTAATAAATAACTATTTAGATAATTTTTCGCTGTTAAAATAATATATATATATTTTTTATATTGATATAATTTTGATAACTTGGATACGTTCATGCCATATCACACCAATTTTTCCGTGTCAATCTTGTATCTATTTTTCTAACAATGTTTTAAGTGTAGAAGTAGAGCCGACTTTTAGCATGAGCAACTTGAGCAATTGTTTAGGGCCCTACTTCAAAGAGGCTCATATTTTTTAATTTTAATTATTATTAGATATATTAAAATTTATTTTAAATTTTATACCATAATTTTCTCAACAATTACCTAATTTAATTTTAATTCTAAACTTAAATTCTAGTCAGAATTTTTCTATAATCTCATTTTTCTCACATTTGGAATTCATAAATATTTATAAAGTTCATAATTATTATTAGATATATTAAAATTTAATTTAAATTTTATCTCTCTTTCTTTCTTTTTTTTTTTTTTTTTTTTTTACAATATACTCAATTCAATTCTAATTCTAATAAACCTTATCAATTTTTTTTTTTTTTCTAACGCTTATATTCTTTGCCTTTAGAATTTGTAATTATTATTATTATTGAGTTATTGGCTTTATAATAGTCAAAATATTATAAATTTTTATAATGGTCAACATATGTATCACAAACTAGGTCCGTGACGGGACACATATATTTCGTTTATTGTATATATAATTAATATAATTTTTATTTTAGTGGAATTTATTATCGTATTGTTCGTTGATAGTATTTTGAAAAAAAAAAAAAATAATTTGTTCATAGGGTCTATCATTTAATTTTGCTCAAGGTCCTAAAAAAGTTCAAGACAGCCCCGTATAGATATACTCCCTCTGTCACTTAATAATTTATCTATTTTTCCATTTTGGTCCGTCCCATAACAAAGTATATATTTCATTTTTAGTAATTGTACTATCTACCTAACATTACAAATATCCTTCTCATTTACAATATATTATACAAATGTCATTACCTTTATATCATACAATACTAATAGGGTTAATTTAATCTTTTTATTTTTATTTCTACTTTATTTTAATATAATACTAATATTTCTAAAATTTCGTATAAAAAACATATGAATATATAGATAAGACGGAGAGAGTATTAAACAATCCATAGTAATGATGATGTTGTATGGGAGGTTCATTATAAACAATATTGAGATATATTTTTGAGTTTACCTTAAATTTTAGCTTAGTTTAAATTGCTTGGGTTAAGACCACGGATTCAACATTATAAAAAAGAAGATAACTAGTTCGTTTTAGATAATAAACTTATAAAAATTAGTTACTAATATATATATATATGCGTGAGTTTATATATTGTATTTGTATTATATTATATATATCTTTTGTCAATTTATGCTTCATATGTTGTTGGTATATATTTTATAGTGTAAATTATATAATATCTCCTTATGTTTTAAAATAAATAACTAAAATACCCCTTATTCTATTTATTATATGAAACTTTTTTCGTCTTAAATTAAAGTTTGCATAAATACTCTTTTAGTTCAAAACTAATGGGTGTATATACAATTCTATTTTATACAAATAAAAGAGGTAAATATATTAAATAATATTTTTTGAAATAAATAAATAATCCTTTTATAAGTTTCAAAGACAAACTTTTATCTTGATTTTTACAAGAACCGTAAAAATGAAAGTCTTGATCAATTATTTATTTATTTATTTTATTAAAAAATGAATATTTAATATATTTTACTTATTTTATTTGTATAAAATTTGCATAGTTTAGGTCCGTATATACAACCAAACAATATCAGTTTGAACAAGAAGAGTATTTTGTGCAAACTTTAATTCAACATAAAAAATTTCATGCAATAAACAAAATACAATGCATTTTGTGTATTTTTACGGGTTGTTATATAATTTAGCCTATTTTATATGTTATGATCGACTATAATTAGAAAGCACAATAATCGCAACAATGTTGCGCGTATTTAAAAATAGAAATTGCATATTTCCCATCAAATTCAGGTTCACTAACCTCTGGTATTCAGTTTTATTCTCTTCATGAGTACACACAGTTACATTATTCATAGCCACACTACAGCTTCGACATATGATCACACTTCTTTTATTTATTATTAAGATGCATATATATATATATATATGCATATCTCTTCTAAATAACATTTAAATGCATTGCGCCTTCAGCTCACGTATGACAAATCGAGCCATTTGTTTATAAGAAGCTTGTGTTAGATGAATGCCATCCCAATGTATATGGTCATTCGGATTCGGACACAATGGTACGTCTCCGTTTCCACAAAATATCGGCCCTAGAGTGAGATAAAAACCCGGGCGTCCACAACAAGGCTTAAACAAAGTGTTTGGGTTAAACCCTGAAAAAAAACCAAGAAAAAATCGATTAGCACTAAACATTTTAAATTATATGCGCCGCGACAAAAAATTATTACATACCGAGAGCGGGTGCTTTTATAAGAAGTGTTAGAAAAGCATTATAGAGGTCAGAGTAGAGTATGTTGACATTAGGAAATTCGAGCCGGAGTTTGTTTATATCTCTTTCTAGGTCATTGTTTCGAGAACGAATTAAATCATTCAAGCCTTTTAGACATCCAAATTCATCTTTGGTTCTTTCATTAAGCAAGCTATGATCGCGATCAGCCGAGCTCAGAGAAAAAGGGAAGCATCCGAGTGGATAAAGTCCGGGGACAATGACTTGGTCGGCGCCTAATAGGATTACCTCCTAAAGAATCGAAGAAAACAAGAATAATTATTTATCACTTGTATATTTTTTTCGATAATAAACTATGTAATAGAAACTTTGAACAAGTATTGAGTCTTCGATTACTCTTGTCGCATTGAGGATGGCTCCATTAACGAGTGGCAAGTATGTTTCGATATATGCAAGGGATTTCCCTTGTTGAAATGCGTATGCAATGTCATTGTACCCGAATTCACCCACAAACACGAGCGATCTTCTGAGCTTTAGTTTGCAATCTAGTAAAAAAAGAAAAAAAAAAAGACATTTTACTTTCGCAAGAATAATGAATTTGTGTTATGGTTAACCTTAATATTCTATGGTGCTTGTTGTCACTAGTCCTTTAAGTTTTTTTGGGTAAATAACTTCGATGAATTATTTGATTGATCAGCGTAAATAACATTATACCCCTTATAATTCACCAAAACTTATCATTATATTTATCTATATTTTGTAAAACTCTACTCAAAACCATCATCACCTAAAATTTAATGAAAAATATGTATCAAATGTTGTTACTACAAGTGAAATTGTATATTTGGCTAAAAACATTGTTCATCTCAATTTCAATACTAGCAAGTGTGACTTAACATTTGATTAAGTTGAAATTTACTAGGTTTTTTGTGAATAGTTTTTCAAAGAACATTATTTTTAAACTATAAAAGAGAATGACGTTATTAAATGAAGTGTAATAACAAATAAAGTAAAGTTTATGATAACGCGGAACGTGGAAGGTTCGAAAAAAAAAATAATTTTCATGTCTTCTTTTCGACAAGCAATCGAAGTAATATAAAATTGTTTGTGGTGATCAAACCTGCTGGAGTGAGGCAAATCTTCTTAAGATATTTCTTAAACGCCGCCAATTGAGCAAAAAGTGATGGAAGTGGTAGAACCTTGGTCCCTCGAGCTGCATAAAACTTAGGGCTGAGAGTCGTGCTTCCGGCCACAGCAAAATTTACGCCATTGAAGAACGTAGCATTTTTGTCCAAGTTAGGATTCAATGGCGGAAGCCCAAGAGATGCAGCTGCGAAAATATGTGTAATAAATCAATTCACAAATTATCATATCATTACATTTATCTTCGTGCCGCTTTACTGTGACACATTGTGTGCTAACAGACAATATATTATATAACTATAAAAAAAAACATACAATTTGTCTTAACATAATATAAATCAACTACATAATTGATTTCAACACTTACTTTATATTCATACAACACAGTTTTTATATAATGTAACATATGTTGTCTGTCTGTGTTATACGTATGCTCAGCGGCGGACCTATTAAAAGGCAAGGGTGGGCTGCCCCACCCCACCCTTACTCTTATCTCTACTTTTATTTTTATTTATTTAGATATATACATAATAAAAAAATTGAAATAAACAATAATTATAATTCAATTATTTTTTTTTTTAAAAATAATTATATATTTTTTTTATATCAAAGAATACATATATATGAATATATACAACCTATAGCAATATATATTATTATTGATGATATTGTAATTTATTATTTTGTAATTAAAGAGAAATAAAATATATCATTTTATATCAAAAGATATTTTTAAAGTTCTAAAAGAAATTGCCCCTCCTCGAATTTTATCCTAGTTCCGCCACTGCATGTGCTCGCTGAGGTAAATCAACACTATATTGATTCGACCTGCTAAACACAATAATCATCTCGTGCATGTATATATATATATATATGTGCATGCGCATATATTACAAACCAATATAATCAATGATAAGTCGACCATCCGACCAACGGCCAGAGGGGAATCGTGGAAAAGTTTCTCCATAAGGTAGGCGAGCCGCAGGAGCTGCAGGAATTAGTCGAATTAGATTCCCGGTGTCTGCTGTAGAGTCTCCAAGCTGATATATGGATTTTATAGGACATCGTATTCCTCGAAGTGGATCAAGACATACAAAAGATGAAGGAAAGATTGTCATGAAAATTACAATGGAAAATAAACAGACAAGGCTTGGCGCATGGTTCGACATCTTGTTGTCTTTGTTTGAGTTTAATTCTCTCAAAAGTATTGTATGATCTAAAGTATTGATCGACATAGGCTTAATATATATAGGGAAAAAACAATGGGTTTGTTTGATTTTGATTTGATTGAGCTTTTAACTTGTATTTTGGTTTAAATAATGCTCTCTAGCTCGGTCCGACTCTAAGGGTTTCATTTACATCTCATTGTATTTAACATTAAAAATATATTTATTATATTTGTATAATTTTTTTTTTACATATGTCATTATAATAGTATTGTAAAACACCAATAAAAGTATTTTTGTTAGTTTCTCTTGATTTGTATTACGTTTTTATATAATAATTAATGTTCAAATATTAATACGCAAAAAGCAAATGAAACCCTTAGAGTAGGACGGATGTAATATTTTGATATGATCTTTTATGAAAAAATAATAATAAATTTATTTTTATCTTGCAGGCTTAATAATTTGAATTTGAAATTCAAAATAAACACACTATGAATTTAATACTACTAATAGTGACAGTAGAAAATTTCAAAATTTTGAATGGACAATCGAATTTCTTTTGAAGATAAAATTTAAAAAAAGAACTAATAAAAACTAGGGAAATAAAATAATGAAAAGAAATGTTTTTTTTTTAAATAAAAAAATAAAAATTAATGTCTTGATTTGAATTTTGTTTGAAATATTTTATGAGAACAAATAATATATTTTTATTACAAATTACTAAACACATCACAAGTATTTAGATCATCTTGTACTCCCATCCATAAAAGAGGAATATTAAAAGTTATATAGAATAATATAAAAGAGGAATATACAGAGAATATATTTTTAGAGTAAAAATTGAAGTTTATGATTTGAGTAAAATTACTGTAGATCAACTGCATTTTTACTATAGCAACTGCAAAAATGGAGTTGAGGGTCGGAGATAGCCTTAAAACTAGAAATTAGGTATAGTTATATTGATTTGAAATTTTGTTTCAATTTTTTTTATTATATACTTCTTCTATCCAGCTAATTTGTTCATTTTAGCTAACATTAAGATAACTAAATAGTTTAATTAAAATAAAAATAAATTATAAATTATGAATTATTAATTTTGAAATATAATTAAAGTGTCTAATTATATTTCTAAAAAAAAAAGAAAAAACAAATTATGTGGACCTATCGAAATAAAAAAAAAAAGAAAAAGAAAAAAGGACAAACTATGTGGAATAGAGAGAATAATATTTAGAGATGATTTAGTTATATATAAAACATTATATTCAAACTATTGTAATTCAAAACTAAAATATAAGAGTTTGGTTCACTGTTATTTGTAAACTTGTCAAAACAGGTTAGCAGGGTGGATTGACCCATAATCCCCACCATAACCCGAAAATAAGTAGGTTGTTTGCGCGCCAACCCACGACGGGGTGGACTAAATTTTCATCAGTCCAACCCAATCCACCGGCAGATAGCGAGCTAAGCGGGCTAGCCCACGGGCTTTTTAAAAATATTAAAAAATATATAAATAATATAAATATTTTCGTAATTAATATTTAAAAATAGTTTATAGAGTTTAAATAATACAAATTATTTTTTTAAAAAATAACAAGTATAAAAATTTTCAATTCTAAATATTTCTATTAGTTGGTGTGTTTAAAATTAATTAATAATAAAAGAATATTTTAAAATAAATCATAATTAATTTTATGAATATGTGAATAAATTTTAGAATTAAAAAAAATTATAAAACAAAAAATTGAAAATGAACAAAACAAATGAGAACGACATCGGGTTAGAGAAGAAAAGGCAAAGCGTAGATAATATTAATTAATTAATTTAAACTAATGATAATATAAATTATATTTTATTTGTCTTTAACAAAAAATATCTCTTTTTAGTAGATTAAAAAATAATATGTTATTTATTAAATAAAGTGTACAAGATTGATTTTAATATTTTTTACTCTTTGTACTATTATTTATAAATGAATTGTATTTATAATGATATATTTCTATAAAATTAAAATATATCATGATATTAATATTTCATTCATATTTTAATAATCTTTTAATATAACAGTAAAAATGGTAAAAAAAGAATACATTCAGGGGGTGTATTCAATATAAATTTTGTAGGATTTTTAAAATATGGGTGTATTCAATCAAAATTTTTAAAAGTCTTTTAAAATCCAGAGGTATTCAATCTAAACTTTTAAAAGTCTTTTAAAATCCCGAGGTATTCAATAGACTTTTAAAAGTCTTTTAAAATTTTGAAATATTCAACAATCATAGACTTTCAGATTTTAATCGATTCTAATGGATTTTTGTGAAAATTTTGTATAGAAAAGAATCTCTCCTACCATCACCGATTTTGATGGATTTTTAAAATTATTATTATTATTATTATTATTATTATTATTATTATTATTATTATTATTATTATTAGAGTAAACTGTTTTTTTAGTCCCTAACTGGACCCCCTTATCATTTTAGTCTCGTAGGTGGAGCCTGTCGAAAACTAGTCCCATAAGTGAAAACTTTTCGCTGTTTTAGTCCTCCGGCGCCGGAGATGCCCGCGTGGCTCGCCGGAGGTGACGTGTCCCGCCAAGTGTCGCTGACCTGGCGGGACACCTGGCGGACACGTAGATTTATTTATTTATTTTTTAATTTTTTTTTAAAATTAAATCAAATTAAAAAATTAAAAATATATAAATAAAATTAAAAATAAGTTTAAAAAAAAATTTAAAAAATAAAAAATAAAATAAAAAAATCCACGTGTCCGCCAGGTCAGCGCTAGGTGTTGTTGACCTAGCGGACACGTCACCTCCGGCGAGCCACGCGAGCGTCTCCGGCGCCGGAGGACTAAAACAGCGAAAATTTTTCACTTATAGGACTAGTTTGCGACAGGCTCCACTTACGGGACTAAAATGATAAGAGGGTCTAGTTACGGGACTAAAAAAATAGTTTACCCTTACTATTATTATTATTATTGTTGTTGTTGTTGTTATTTTTGTTATATATGTGATCAATAATATGATAATATTTATTACTATTATTATAATTTTTAATAAAAATAATAATTTAAAACTAAAATATATTAGCAAATTATTATGATTTATTTTTAAATATATTTTTATATTATAAATATAATTTTAAAAAATATTATTATAATATTGTCGTCTTTTCTTTTCAGTTATCGAATACACTATATTATCATTACGATAACGGTGAAATAGATATTTAAATATATATTTTTTGTTGAACCGTTAATTTATATTTATTTATTTTAATATTTTTTTCAAAAATCGTATATTATTTATTTATTTATTTTAATATAACCTTTTTACCTAAAAAGTAAATACATATATATTATTTATTAATATTAAATATTATCTTATTAATAACTATTTATTATATTTATAAAATTTGTTGTTTGATATAAATTTATATAATTAATATATATGAAAAAAATTATTTTACAATCCTACAAAATCCATATAAATCCATAAAGAATTCAATCTAATTTGTAGAAATCCATCTATATTAATTACTAAAATCCATCAAACTCAACGTAGACTCTGTGAATTTTCTAAATCCACGTAAATCTATAGACTTTTTAAAATCCATAAAAAAGTCATTAAAATCCCAATTGAATACAACCCTTAGTTAAGACGTGTGCGAGTACTAATTATTATATTTACTTGGCCCACGGGCTAACTCATCCCAGTGCAGGCTAACCCACTCCCAACCTACGGCCCACGTGATTTGGCCTGTTTAGGCACGCTTTTTAACAGGCTTAAAAAATTACAACTCAACTCTCCTTAAAAGTTCTCGATTTGATCAACTATGCCCCCGGGCCTTAGCCCTTGCCTCACCAACTAGCTAATCAGACGCAAGCCCCTGCTTGACAACAGTCACTCCTATTAGGTCACGAACTTCCTTCACTTCAGAGAGCAGGGTACCCCTGATTGGATCTGCTGACAGTTGCCCCTGATTCTCTTGTGAATTCCTCTCCCATGTGTCATTCTTTTCAATGGCTCGAATCTCTTCATCCATGGCTTCAATCTCATTCTAATTCAGTGCTCTCCGAACCGTCCAGACACTTATTTAATTGAAACCTTATAAAACTAAAAAGAGTGGACTCTGCGTTGACAAAGAAGAAAAGAGCATTAGTCAAGAGGGAAAAGACAGCGAATCTTTTTTTTTCGTACTTTCTATTATTTAGATAGAAATCAGTTGGAAAGGAAGTAGGCAAGGATCGTTCGCTAGAATGAGCTTGAATATGGCTCCCTTCACTATAAATCAGCTCTGGCCAAAGTAAACTGGTATAATTATCCTCCTGTCACTAGTTTTTATTCTAGTATGTTAGAATAGGAAAGCAGGATATAAACCTCTCGCTGGTTTTTGGAATTCGACATCAGGAAGTCAAGAATACACAAGAAAAGCACTTCGAATTGTTGATTAATCGTCAGAGCCGGATGTGCTTGACGGTCCCCCATAATACGCTCACTTGGGGACTTCTTACTCCAGCTGTTCCAAGAGTCTCCGCTAGTTGAACCGCGTCCAGTAGACTCCCTGTTCCGACTTTTTTCCATTCTCTAGAATTGTTTTTCTCTTACTGTGTAAACAAACTTGAGGCGGAACGGACCAACCCGACGGGCTCAGCTCATTTTGATGGCTCTAGTTATTTGAAATTAATTTTTTATTATTATTTTAGTTTAAATATTATTTTTAACATAATATTTTATTGGTGAAAATAATATTTTCATCATCAATAATGTTGTTGGTCATTGAAATTTTTTAATAAGCCAAGCCGAAAAATAGTAAAGATTTTTTTTTTTTTTAATCGGAAAAGAGATATATATATACTAGAACACGCTCTTGCGCGGTATACCGCGCGACTATTCTATAATGTAATGTAGTGAAACATTATTTATTTGAAATATAAACTGTAAAACAAAAATG